ACATCCAATCAATTTAAAATTATTGGCGCATGTGGGCTCCTTGAACCAACTAAAATGTATCTTCAGTATCCCCCTCCTCTCTTTGTCTAAAACCTATAAAAGGCTCCACTCTCCCTTACTCTGGGGTCTCAGCATGGATCCGTTGAGTTGATGAGGTCTGAGAGCCTGAGCTTAAGCCTGAATAAACCCTAAACCTTTGCTTTTGCATTTTGGTGTGTTGTGTCTTCAGTGGTCTTTTTTGGGGTCCAGTGGATGAGGTACAACACTTCCACCCAACACTGGCCATCATCAGCTCAACTGCAGGGTAAGAACCTCTCAAATCTTGGAGATTTCTCAGAACCCCACTTTGCAGCATGCCACAGTGAATGGCCTGAGAATTCCTGTTGTCCTCATTCTGTTGGGCTTTTGTCTTGGAGGATGCCAGCACTCAAATCCCAAGCTCTTGGCATTTTGCATTGGCATTCCCACTCTCAGCCTCTCAGCATGGGCTCACAAATTTCTAAAGCCCTCAGCAACTCTCCCTTGGCTTGTTTTGTAAATAACCTCTCAGCCTTTGGACTCCAGTATGATTTAAAATGAAAAAAAAAAAAACAAAACAAAACAAACAAAACAAACAAACAAAAAAAAACATTATCACCTGTCAACCTTCATCTGGCCCTAATACAAAAGTAGATGATAGCTGGTGACCTAAATTTGGCACATTCGATCCAAATGTTCTGTCAAATTTTGATAATTTCTTACATAGAAATGGCAGATGGTCTGTGATTAAGTTCATTCCTAAATATGTTTTTTGAGACTATTGTGAATACATGTCCATGAACTCTGTTATTGGTGTATAGAAAGGCTATTTTTCTTTTTGTAAATTAATAACACTTTGCTGAGAGTATTGATCATTTCTAGAAGTCTTTTATGGAATTTTTGGTATCTTTTGTATAATATATGGATAATTTGACCTCCTCTTTTCCAATTATTTTCCCTTTAATTTCCTTGTCTTATTGCTCTAACTAGAGCTTCAAGCATTATTGAAAAGAAGCAGTGCACAGCCTTGTCTCGTTCCTGATTTTAATGGAAATGCTTCTAGTATTTCTCCATTTAGAAATATGTTGACTGTGGATTTGTTGTACATAAGTTTAATTATGTTGAGGTATGTCCCCTCATCTATTGAGATGATCCTATGATTTTTTTCTTTAAGTCCATTTAAATGATTGCTTATATATATCTCGAATTGTATATACTGAACTACCCCTGTATCTCTGAAATAAGGCCAATTTGATTATGGTGAATGGCTGTTTTGATGTGTGCCTGTAAGCAGTTTGTGCATATTTTGTTAAGAATTTTTGCATCTGTGTTCATTAGGGATATGGGCCTATAGTTTCCGTGTACTTTTACCTGGTTTGGGTATTAGAGGAATGCTGGTGTCATAGAGTCTGGAAGTTCTCATTCTCTTTCTATCTACTTGAATAATTTAAATAGTGTTGGTTGTAGATATTCTTTGAAAGTCTGGCAAAATTCTGATGTGAATCCAACTGAGCCTCAGCTTTTTTAATTGGAAGGCTTTGTATTACTCTTTCAATTTCCTTATTTATTAAGGGTCTCTTTAAGCCATTGTTCTCTTCTTGGTTTAACTTTGGTGGATCCATTGAATTTGGAAATTTTTTTCATTTCTTTTAGATTTTCAAATTTAATGAAGTATAAGTTTTTAAGTATTTCTTATAATATTCTGGATCTTTTTGGCATCTCTTCTGACATTTCCACTTTTGTCTCAGATTATGTTAATTTGGATTTTTTCTTTCATATTTTCCATTAGCTGGGCTAAGGGTCTGTCTATCTTACTTGTCTTTTCAAAGAAGTAACTCTTAAAATTTTTAATCCTTTGTATTGTTTCTTTGTTTCTATTTCATTGATTTCTGCTGGCATTTTTATTATTTCTTCTTGTCTGTTCTGTTTGGTTTTGGTTTGTTCTTGCATTTCTAAATTCACGAGCTGTACCCTTAAGTCATTAATTGTGCTCTTTATGTTTTTTTTTGTTTTGTTTTGTTTTTAATGTAGGTGCTTCGAGCTGTGAGTTTCCCCTTAGGACTGCTTTTAATGTATCCCACAGGTTTTGTGTATTGGGTTATCATTTTCATTTAGTTCCAGGAATACTTTTCTTTCTTTCTTGATTCTTCTTTGATCCATTCATTATTCAGGAATGTGTTGTTTAATCTCCACGAGTTCATGTGGTTACTAGAGCTTCTTTTGCTGTTGATTTAGAGTTTGATTGGGTTGTACACTGACAGAAGACAGAAATTATTTCATTTTTTTAAATTTGTTGATTTTTTTTCCCCAGTGTGTGATATATTTTAGAGAAACTTCCATGGGGTGCTAAATAGAATGTATATTCTTTGGTACTTGTGTGGAATATTCTGTAGATGTCTGCTATGTCTATTTAATGTATGATATCATTTAATTAGATTTTTCTCTGTTTATTCTTTGCCTAGATGACCTGTCTTTTGGAGAAAGTGGGGTATTGATGTCACCTACTTTTACTGAGTTGGAATTAATCTGTGTCTTGAAGTTCAGTAGTACTGATGATTGAATTGGGTGCACTAGATTTTCGTGCATATAACTTCATACGTTTTAAGTCTTCTTGGTCAAATCTTCCTTTGGTCAGAATTTAGTTACCTTTTTTATTTCTTCTGATTAATTTTATCTATCTCTCTATCTATCTATCATCTATCTATCTATCATCTATCTATCATCTATCTATCTATCATCTATCATCTATCTACCATCTATCTATCATCAATCTCTCTGTCATCTACCATATTTTGATTGATTTTAAGGAATTGGCTCATGTGTCTGTGGGAGCTGCTAGCAGTCTAGAAACTTAAGCAGAATTTCTACACTGGTCTGGGGAGGAAGTCCTTCTTTAGGAAACCTCTTTTTGCTCTTACAGCCTTCAACAGATTGGAAGAGGCCCACTCACATTCTTGGTGTTGAATCGCGTCCCTCTCAAAATATGTGTTTAATTCCTAACTCCCAGGACCTGTGTATGTGACTACATGATCTTATTTGAAAATAGAATCCTTGTCAAATTTATGAAGAATTAAGTTAAAGTTATACTGGACTAATATGGGCTCTAACCCATGATGGGTTATTCCTTTCTTATAAAAAGAAAGGAATCTGGATGCAGACACACAGAGGAGACAGCCATATAGACTCAAAGGCAGAGACTGGAGTGAGGCAACTCTATGCAAAACAGCTCCGATCAATTCCTTGTAGATGTTCACCACACCTCCAAAATAGCTTCACAGTAATAACCTGAACTAGTGGAACATGACCTAGCCAAGGTGACACACATGACCTAATGCCATGGGAAGCAATGCAGGGAAGAAATACAGCCACAGGTCTCTGAGGTGGGTGAGTGAGGAAATATTTGGTCAACAATCTCATTTAGGATGTTCATGATGTTGGTGATTTGGGTGTAGTTCTGGCCAGGGTTGCTAGGCAATGCTGTGATGCCCTGTGCTGAGAAGCCCAGCAGCAGGTGCTATCAGGAGGTAGGAACACTTTGGGGTCAGGTGCTTCTAGCTGCAGAGTGGCTAATGAGTCATGAGATCACCAGCAGGGCTCCAGTTCCCTCAGCATTAATTGAGAAATGAAGGCTAGGGCCTGAAAGTGTGTCAAGTGAACAGAGTACGATAGGCTGAGCAGTCCAGTTCTACATTTTTGTCATCCAATCTTGATATGTTTTCCACTTTGTTCATTCTGCTTGTGGGACTTTCTCCTGCCACTTCAAATTGCTTAATTGAGTTTTTCCATTTCATCTTCATTTAGGCTTGAGTTTTCTGCAATATTTCCACCTCTTTTGTGAATCCAGTTTTCAAGTCCTGAACTTTGTCATTTCATTTCATTCAGCCAAATATTCATGTTTTCTTGATGCTCAGTCAGGAGTTTATTCCTATCCTCTTTGAGGTTTTTTTTTTTTTTAGTTGTTTTTGTTTTCTTTCAAGTCTTTTAATTCATTGATCATATTTGTGGTTGTTCTTTTAAATTCTACATCCTGGGTTTCTTCTGGGTGACTCTCCTTGTAGTATACTACTGTAGGACTGGTGAGTTTGGGTGCAGACATAGCACCTGGGTTTTTCATATTATTTGTGTCTTCTTGTTATTGCCGGGGCATACAGATTTCTTTTGTTGGTTGTGTTTCTGATATGAAATTTTAGTCTTCCTTTTGTTGAAGTTTGGCTTCTGTTTATATTGTTGGTATGTTCTGTTTGCTTTCTGATAAGGTGTGTAGCTTGGTTGTCTGTGCTTCAGGTTATCATGTTTTTTGTTTTGTTTTGTTTTTTTTATTTCAGGACAGGATCATTCTGAGCTAGCTAGTCATGATCTATCATCATCCATTAGGGTGCTAGGCGCAATATTGGACTATGAGAATCCAGTGACTGGGTTCTGAAAGGCTAGTTTAGAGGTCTCAGGTAGGAGGAACAAGAGGGGGACCTAGACCCAAGGCACAAATGGAGACAGTGTAGGGAGGTCTAAATAGCTAAACAGAGTAGATGTGCTCCCTGGAGATTTGAGAAAGTATTTCTTTATTTCTTGAAGATTTTCATTTATTTATGACACTAAAATCAGTCTTCTCTCACAATGACCACAAACATCTGAATGCAATGCTGTTAATGAGATCAGATAAATACTAAATGGAAGGAATAATTGCTCAGTTTTAGTAAGTATTTAATAATATTCTATTTCAACAATCACATTTAACTGTTGTTTTCTAAACTTCATTCCTGAGATTTTTGTATTTTTGCATTCCTTTTTATTATGTGCCCATCTACTTCCTCATGACATCATAAGGGACATGCCACGGGGCTTCCATTAGCATTTCATTAACACAATTTACCACTTTTGGACCGTTTCTTGAAACTATTAAGTTCTGTACACTTTGATTATTTTCTGTGCTGGAAATTAAATGCAAGATTTTGCTGAATTATATATCTATAAACACTTGGCGAGTGTTTACTTTGGCAGCACACGTACTAAAATTGAAATGATACCGATAAGAGTAGCGTGGTCCCTGCACAAGGATGGCATGCAAATTCATGAAGTGTTCTATATTATGTATATATGTGAGTATATATCCTGATGTGACCACAGGAGCCAAGACAATGTAAAGGAGCCATGGAGGTAAAGGGGAAAAAAAAAGAGTCCGAGAGAGGTAATACCTATAGCAAGGGGGAAATGGGGAAAATAAAAGTATTTACTGGGAAGGGAGAAGGGAGGGTTATACAAGGAACCATAGGACTAAAGGGAAAGAAGAATCTCAAGAGAAGGGGGGATCATAGGGGTAGGTATTATCAAAAGGGAAATGGGAGAAATGGGGATATCTTAACTTGGGGGCGAAGAGAAAGGGTTGGTCAGGGAGAGAAGGATGAGAGATAATTAATGCTTAGGTGGTATGAAAAATCAGAGGAAGATGTATTACTTCAAAATCTACTGAAACATACGCATACAATATCTGTACATGAGTGAACATGTACAGCTGAAGGCTATATGAAAAGAAATACAGTGCCAGAGAGGAACAACCTCCCTTTGAGTTGTTGGTCAGGGTAGCTATTCCAAGAGACTCACAAAATAACACAATCTATTGCCACAGCCCTTGGTTTTCCTCCCAGAACTTGAAGGTAAGACCTTATTGCTGATGACAGGATATACCTTGTACACTGGAAATAGAGCAATGGAGCTGGAACTGACCTGAAGCCTCTTCCCTGAAGACCAGCACTCATTCCTTTGGAGAGCTCTATGGAGATGCCAAGGGAAAATGTCAGTGGATGATCCAATATCAGCTTCAAGACCAAATAATCACATCAGTGGCCAGCACAGCATATGTCTGCAGTAGTGGTAATCTTATCTTTGAGGCAATCAACAGCTACCTAATTTGACTACCCACTCAAAGGCAGGAAACTCAAGTGTGGTAATGTAAACATAACCTAATACACATGGGTGGAGTGGCCACCAGAGAAAACCCCAAGCCTGTCATAATACTACATTAATGTGATTTCTTACTATGTGCAAAATATGTATCCTTATATTTACAGACAA